TGTAATGCTCTCATGTGTAGGCGTGACTTACAAGTATAATTTCATAACACCTCAGAGGAAGCTTTGATTGAGGTGCCATTACAGAGAACCCTGATTGATGTGTCACCCTCATAATGGGGAACGGGTGAATCCGTGATGCCGACACAACATGTGAGGTGGTTAAAGGCGATACATACCCCGATAACTGCGCTCCATAATTTTCTTCTTAAGATAGAGATCTCCACGTGCACTAGTGATAGACAGGGTTTACCAAAATGGTGGACCTGTAACTCTAATTTGAGTCTGGTTTGGACTGGACCTTATCTTGGATCTGGACTTGGTCTAAACTAAACCTACAACTGTGATTTTGGACTGGTTTAAGCCGAGCCTATCATTTATGATCTAGGTTGGGCCCACCAATTCTTATAATCATGGAATATAGTATTGGACTACAAAAAAAGAGAAGTGTTCATTTTGATAACCATTAAATGAATGTTAAGTCTAGACTACTTTGAAAAAGAAGCATGTTTGTATTATATAGAATTGTGGAATTTTTGGTAATGCCATATGGTCTGCGATTCAAACTTTGATTTAAACTTTGTAAGCTGAAATTGAACTTTACTACTGGTGGGGAGAAAGAGCGCACAGGGAAGGCCAAAAGGTGGATAGGTGGTAGGCCAAACTATGGTTGGAGTCTTCCTATTCACATGGTAACTAGGCTTATCAATGAATCGGATTCAGATCAAATTCGGGTCTATTAGAAAAATATTAGTCCATATTTGAATTTGTTTATGCAGTCTAACACTATGAAGTTTACTATGATGGTAGAGCTTTTTGGTGTTGTCCCTATTGTGACTGGCATGGTGATAGAACTCAAAGGATAAGCCCTCTCATCCGAAAATCCAATGAGGGGTGTTCTAATGGGTTGCATTCTTTCCCTGCCTAGATGAAGGTTGTCATAGGCTGGTGCGAATAGGATGTCAACAAAATTGTTGTTGTCCACCAAAATTCTCTTAACCTGATACTTAGCTACCATAATGGTTAAGACCAAAGGGTCATCATAGGAGAATTGGATCCCATTGAGGTTCCTGTCTGAGAACGAGATGACTTCTTTTTCCCCGTACTAGGGCGTCTTCATCGGGCGAGGTCCCTTTCTATGCTTTCTTGACAGAATTGGAGTCACCTCCTCTCCTTAACCCTCGAGAGATCATCTAGATCTCTCTGAGGTGTTGTTGGCGCTCTCTGTCATCCTAGTTTCTATTATACGACGAGGCTTGTCCTTTGCCAGCAATGTACTGTCGCAAACTGGCCACACTGTATGAGCTCCTCGATCTGCCTTTTAAGATCAAAGTAGTCATCAGTATTGTGGTCTTGGTCGTTGTGGAAAAAGGAGTACTTGTTTGAATTCCTACAGTTGGGGGCGGTCTTCATCTTATCTAGCCAGTGTATTGTATGATCATCCTGTATTTGGAACAGAATATGCTCCACCGAAGCATTGAATGACTTAAAAGCCTGCTGTTCTCTCAAAGGTGGGGGACTAAGGCAGTCCTGGACAGAGACCCTTTCTATCCTATTCCTCTTGTTCTTTGCTTTTCTCCTGTCTTACCGGATTTTCTTGTCCCCGTGGAAGGACTCACCTCGTCTTGCTTTGGTGATGTTCTCGGCATTCATATATTTCTATGCCCTTGACAATAGCTCAAGCATGTTAGAAGGTGGCTTCTTCAGGACAGAGAACATAAAACTTGAGGAGCGTAGGCCTGCTATAAAGGTAGTCATGGTCACCATGTCATTTAGCTTCTTGATTTGGAATCCCTCCTCATTGAAATGAGTGAGGTAAATCTTTAGACTTTCATCCCGATCTTACTTGGATGGTGAGCAAGTGGGTAATTGGCTTCTGATGTCGGCATCCCCCAACGAAGTGGAAGACAAAAGATTTGCTTAACTCTGCAAAGGAGTGGATGAAATACGGCTTGAGCTTGGTGAAACATAGTTATGTAGATCCCTTAAGTGTTGAGTGTTTTTTCCACACGAACTTACTTCACTTAACCCGGTTGCCAGACATTCTCCTTACCCTCCGAAACACCCATGTCAAACCCTCCTCTCTCCCCCTTCTCACCATGCTAGACCCCCAAGCAACAAACAGAGAGATGGACATAAAAACCGCTTTATGTGCCTACCTCTACCTTATCATTGATGTCAGGGGCCAAACATAGTATATGACTACCGTAAAGGAGAGCTTTAGGATCAGGCCAGTAAAGGCCAAATTCTCATTCCGCTCGACACAGAGAAGTGGTTTTGGGGGGGATCCCGGAGAGAGATTGATTGCTGCTAATTTATACTTTTTAAACTTAGAAAGTGTGATTGATATTGATGCTAAATTTATTTTTGACCCGGGGGAGAGAGAGTGTGTTTGAGTGATTGATGCTTAATTTTCTTTTAAATTTGCATGTGCCTGGTAAATTTTTTTTTTTTTTGGGTGTGTAAAAACTCCTGGCTGGACTTTTGGCCCTGATCAATTAAGAATATTTTGTTGGTTTAACCAATCATTTGAATTTTGGCTTTGTTTTAAATGGGTTTGATATTTTGTCCTGGATCATGACATGGACCTATAAAATAGGTGACCTTCTTTGTAGATGAGTTCTAAAACAGTTGCTTCATTAATTGTCATTACTATGGGGCCAGCCTGCAAGCATATTACTTTTAGCTGTCATTCAATTGTATCAATTGTTCATGAACCTGTTACATATGGGTGATGCTCCACCAAATAATGTTGTTCATTAAAGTTGAGTGCTTTATTCGATGATCTTGAATGTTTTATGCTGAATGTACATAAACAAATGCATCATAAGGCCTCATCAGTGTCCTGAGAAAAAGACAAACTTTGTGGGGGCAATAAAGTTATTCTATTGTAATTTGATTGCCATTGGTTCTAATCACAGGGACATTCTCTTCGTATGCAAAGATATGCAAATATAATCGTGTGTAACCTGAAGGAATGGGTTCTAATTAACAGTATTGACATGTAAAAGTTGGTGACTATGATGAAGCTCTCCGCAATGTGTTCCATAAAGAGAACTGATCCAGCAAACAGCAGCAGCAACAACGCAACTTTTGATATCAATGATGAATCTGAGAGGCTACACATACTAATCGTAGATGAATCGTGCCATGACAATACGGTAATCAAAGAATGGTCAGAAGTGTATGCAGGAGACAGAACAGGTAACAATCTATCTAGGAAACGCCGAATAGAGAAAGTTCCTTCACTGATGCGAAGGGCACACGAAGGAGACAATCAAGAGTACAATCCCAGGGTGGTTTCTTTGGGTCCTTATCACCATGGTAAACAGGAGCTTCAATTAGCTGAGAACCTAAAACATTCCATTCTGCCCAAGTTTATTTCAGGCAGTGGGAAACAGTTTGATGATTTCTACAATAAGGTTCTGGAAGTGATTGATGATGTTAGAAGCTGCTACGTTGAAGGTTCCACCAGTGACTACAATGACCAGGAATTTGCCGAAATGATGCTTCTTGACGGTTGTTTTCTTCTATACTACATAGAATGCATGTCAAATCGACGATTGGAAATTTGGGAATTTGTGCATCATATGGGCATGTTTGCCGCGAAGTATATATTGTCAGACTTGTTTTTGCTTGAGAACCAACTCCCACTGCAATTACTCGAGGCTTTGATGAGCGAAAGATTCAAAGAAGATGAGAGGGGAGGAATGATAGAAAATTTCTTTGCAGTAATGTTTGCAAAAGCCCCACCCCCACGAAGTAAGCATAGCATTTCACGGAGGGAAGATGAAAAGCAGCCTCTTCATCTTCTTGAAGCTCTGCGCACAATTCTCCTCTCCAACTACGATGAAGATAAGCAAGGGATTCAATCTTCTTTGCTCCCAAGTGGAAGAAAGGAACTTCCTATTTGTGATGTGAAGGAGTATATTCGGTCATCTATTCGACCTGTCACAGAACTCCAAGCAAAAGGAATTCAATTTAAGCGTAGCAATAGTGTAAGTTTGAAAGACATCAAGTTCAATTCGAAATGCTTTTATGGACAGCTTAGTCTCCCTCCTCGGATCATTACTGCTCAGACCAAGACTATTTATTCGAACCTGATTGCTTATGAAATGTGCCCGAGTACTCCTAATGATTATGGGATAACTTCATACATTAGTTTCATGAAATCACTCATTTGTCAACCTGAGGACGTGAGAGAGTTAAGGTCAAAGAACATTCTTATCAATTGCCTGGGTAATGATGAAGAGGTGGTTAAAATGTTCAAAGATATCATCACTTACGATCTGCAGAAGTTTGGCATCTATGATGAGGTTAGGAAGGACATTCAGAACCACTACAACAACAAGATGAAGACATGGATGGCTGAATTGATTCACAAATATTTTAGTAGCCCATGGACAGTCATTGCTTTCATCGCAGCAACTTCTCTTCTGGTCTTGAGTTTCCTGCAGACCTACTTCACAATCTCCCCAACTCACCATTGAATCATGTACCAGATACATCGGATCAGTAAGTTAATTATAGTGATATGGACTATGACTTTGTGCGCTTTAGTTTTAAGTTCTCAACTTGTCATCCTTCACAATTATCATATATATGCTTAGATTATTTGTTTAACATTTTACCGGGGGTTATAATAGAACGCAAAAACATGATGTATTATTCTAATCTTTGATTCGAATTTGACACCACGTGAAAACTTCTGTTTTTTTTTGTTATGTAGCTCGGTGTGTATAGTCATAAAGGGTTGTGAAGTTATGAAGTAAGTAAGAATTGTTTGGAAAGAAATATTGTTATTTTTCTGGTTAATTAATCAAATTCTGATTCATATCCCATTTCTTAACTAATCACTGCCCCTCTATGTAACATTGGTAGAAAAACAATAAAAATTGTTGCTGATATAAATTTTATTAATTAGTTCATTCAGACAAATGAACTTCATTTCATTAAATTTTGGATGATAAAGCTGAAATAAATAAATATTGTGTTGAATATGATCAGTAATTGGTTCCTTTGCCGTCATCACACATGGGTGTTGTGTAGTAGAATGGGCCGAGCACATGTTTGATCATATCTCGGTACACCATGGTGGGTCGGCCGAGCTTCACCCCTCTCCGGCCACCGGAAAAATCGGTGACAATGTTGCAGACCGGGTCTGGTGATGAAACCAGCCTTAGAAAACAGTTTGTGGGTTTGAGCACTTTCCCATTGAAGTACTTGTTTATGATCATCTCAAAATTACCAGCCTCATCAGTGTCGTCACTTCCATAGTACACAACTCTAATTACAATTTGTCAGATTATTACATTTTTAAGGTCCTAGGTTTGAATGTAGTGAATCTCAATAAATCATCAAAATGTTATGATTAATCATGAAAAATACAAATTTTAAAAGTCAAGTTACGTTTTTGAACTTAAAGTCAGGATTAATCGATGTTATTTATGATCGATCATAAAATTGTAATTGTAACTTGATCTTTAATACTGTTGTTTTTTTGCTACTATAATCTTTTCTTTTGATATTTAACGAAAGCATGCAACACTTTAGGGGTTTAAAGGTGTTGGTATCATTTTTGTGTTATGTTAGATTGTATCATTTTCAAATTCCTATGATGTTCATACTCATGTATACCGTGAAATAGAAATCACAAGAATAATATACCAAATTGTCTCTTAATCAAGTCCATCAAACATGAATCTTCTGTGAATTAAAAATCTACATAGCGAAATTATACTAACTCGATTCTATTAAATATTCGTGTCATTTTTAATTTGTGTTGGGTTAAGTTGAATACATGTGTGACTTTATCTGATTTCCCAAATAACAAAAGTATTATAATGGCTGATACGATCAGTAGTAATCTGCTTTTGGAGGTGGAGTCAAAAGGGGTTAGGTTTGGTGCAGGAGGGGGAGCATCACATGGGTGTGGGTTCATACACCATCCATGATAGAGTTAAAAAGTGGTGTATTAGACCCCCACCCAACACCACCAGCACCAAATCGTGCGTTGGTTGGTCCAAAATAACTTTGTGATCTCCTTCCATTGATTTTTAAGGATCAACTTGCTTTGTCAATCTCACTTACGTAAGTATTTTAAAGTTAGGGATGGTAATAGACCGAAAAAGAAAAAAAATTTGTCAAAATTCATCCTATTTGAATTGGGGATGGAGGTGGAGATAGACCGACACTTACCCCTGCCCCACTAGACCTGCTAGATTTTCATAAATATATATAATATATCAATATAAATATTGTATATATATATATATATATAATATCAAATTTTGATGCCTTTCTTACCTCGGATTTGGTTTATTGTGTGATTATTGTGTTGGATATGTTGTAATCTGTTATTATGGATGGGTGGTGCTGGTGGTGGCGGGGGCGATGGTGGGTATGGAGAAAGGGACTACAATTTATCTGCGTAGCAAGGACAATGATTAAAATTTTTTCTGCTAACGGAATTGAAATGGGGGTGAATGAATATTTTTGAAGCGGGTACGAGAGTAGAGACTACTCCCCCCATCCTTGCCCCGGTCCACTTTCATCCTTACTAAGCTCAATTTTCCTTCTTTTTTTTTCCTCTACAAAGCCAAGAACCTAAATAACACACAAGCCGAGAACACAAGCCGGGAACCAACCCTCCAATTCCACGCTTCCGATGAGACTAAAACCTACTAATTAAGCTTAGTTATGTCGATCACCTCTGACTCATACAACTAGTAAATAGTCAATTATAGTCAAGCACAAAAGTTGATCTCTGGTGCCTTTCTTTTGGGCTCTGTTCTACCGTTCCTTTGGTATCTCTCATGCCTCTCTTCAAAGCTTTATTATCCTTTTTGGAGTTTTTTTTGGTTTCATTGTATTAATATATTCCTCCGACTTCATACTATAATGACTAGTGTTCCGCCAATTCATATGAGAAAATAGTAAAAAATTAGAATCTCTAACCTCTTTATCAAAAAAATGAGGGTGATACCACTTACAAGATGCCATCCACATGCAAATGTCTCTTCTGGTGATGAAATTTGCCTAGTTTAACAAATTAACAATAGTTTGATTTCATAATCTCAATGATTAATAGTTGTGTGATTTTTTGACCCTATGTAATTGTAGTGGGACCCAACCCAATTGCGAATCAACTTTTTTTGAGATGTTTAGGTCCCCATCACATCCATTCCCTCAATTACAAGTGACAATGGACCTCCCTCACTTCACTTTTTTGCCCCATCCTATCAGATCTAACGTAATCTTGAAGATATTGTCTGCTATTCTATTCTTGTGTCCTACCTTGTTTGGCCCATATGTCCATTGATACCCTTTTCTGGTTATAAAAGCCATTTGGTCCTAGACAAAGGCTTTTATCGGTTCTTTCTTTCAACTGCTCTTTGATCATCACCAAAAAAAAAAAAAGGCGTAGTCTATGGTATTGAAAAATAAAATTTTAGTATTATTATTTATAATTTTTGTGAATATTTTTATCATTCTTGTGGTACTTGCGATCGATCCTAACAATTCCCCACAAAAATAATAAATTTTTGATCCAGAAAACAGCAGCAGCAACAATGCAACTTTTGATATCAATGATGAATCTGAGAGGCTACACATACCAATCGTAGATGAATCGTGCAATGACAATACTGTAATCAAAGAATAATTAGAAGTGTATGCAGGAGACAGAACAGGTAACAATCTATCTTGGAAACGCCGAATAGAGAAAGTTCCTTCACTGATGCGAAGGGCACACGAAGGAGACAATCAAGAGTACTGAAAGGGGTGGGGGTGACTCCCTTTATTACACGTGTTATGACATCAAATGAGCACACATGAGGATGACAAGACAAAGCACGTGGGAAAAACATTAGTCACTCAGTCAATAGACCTAGCCAAACTGATCAATGTGTTTGGCAAGCAATGAATGAGCTCGGCTCTTATCGAACCATGCTGTTCAAAGTGTTCAAAAGAGTTCGGTTCTTATCGTGACCAAGCTGTTTGAAATAGTAAATGGAAGGATAAAGATTTTCCTAAAACTTAGGTATCCAAGATAAGCTAATGAGCTTAATTATAGGCCAAGGGAACTGCCGGAGAGATTTCAGCCGCTTCTCAAACTAAATCACTTAATTGAAGGAAGATGTGCCACCTTGAATTGAGAATCATGGAAACCCTAACTGAACAAGGGTCTATAAAAGGAACAAGAAGTCAAGGTGAAAGGTAAGCTGAACTCTCCTGATCTATTCGCATTTCAATCGGATCCATTACTAACTTAAGCATCGGAATGCCTTCAATCGAAGCACTTCGATCTTGGACAATTTGCTCGTTTTGTAGGAAGAAAGGATTGAGAGATCAAGTTCAGAACTCACCCTTTATCAGAAATATCCATTCACCATTCCTGTAGGAGGTATATTCAATTTTTGCATCAAGGGCGAGGACACAAAGATTTTTGTTAAAAATGAGGAAATAAATGATCGGTGGAAAGACTATTTTGGGAAACTATTAAATGAAAGTAGCTTGGGAAACTTAGAAAGATAGAAAATGGTAGGATTTATGAAACATTAATTTGTAGAATAAAGAATTCGGAGGTAGAGTTTGCATTAAAAAAATAAAATTAGGCAAGGCTTTAGGACTAGATGTGATTCCAATTGAGGTTTGGAAGTGCTTGGGGAATGAGGAGGTGTCATAGTTAACGAAATTATTCAATAGCATTATTGTTACTAGGAAAATGCCCGATGAATGAAGAAAGAGTATTTTAGTATATATCTATAAAAATAAAGGAGATATTCAAGAGAGATAAAATTGATGAGTCATACAATGAAACTATGAGAAAGGGTCATTGAACTTTGCCTAAGAGTTGAGACTAGAGTGTTGAAAAATCAGTTTGGGTTTATGCCTAGTAGATCAACTATGGAGGCTATATATTTATTGAGGACACTAAGAAAAGTATAGAGAAAAGAAGAAAAATATTCATATGGTATTTACAAATCTAGAAAAGACATATGATAAAGTGCATAGAAATATATTTGAGAGAAAATGAATGACAAATAAGTATATTGAGGTGATAAAAGACAAGTATGACGGGGCGATAACTATAATTAGGTCTTCTTGTGGGAGAAAGTAAAGAATTTTTAATCACGGTGGAGTTATACTAAGGACTGGCTCTAAATCCAAACCTATTCGCTTTAATTATGAATGAGTTCACTAGGCACATTCAAGATGATGTCCCAAAGTGTATGCTATTTGTAGATGATATTGTATTAGTAGATGAAACTCGCAGGGGATTAACAATAATTTAAATTTTTGGAGAGAGACACTCAAGTTGAAAAGGTATAAAATAAGTACGAAGAAGTAGGCAAAGTGAAAAAGTTAAGATTGAAAATTAAGAAATATCAACGAGTAAACGATTTAGATATCTAGGATAGATCATTAAAAATGATGGAGAGAATGAAGATGGTGTAACTCATAGAGTCAACACTGGTTGGTATAAGTGGAGGAAAGCCTTTGGCATATTATGTGATAAAAGGATACTGTAAAACCCTCATCCATTTTTGTAACATTTCAGAGCACTAATAGCCTCCACAGTTACTAAATAATAAAGTCTCTAAATAATGATTAAACTCTGATACCAAATCCCTAAATATAACGAGTGTTTACTATTAAGCTCAATAGATTAACTTACTATACACAACTATGATACTACTTAGTCATAGACTTGTTACAATCTACACATGCACGTCATGCTCACTACAATTTATATGCCTAAATAACATTATTCAATGCTTTGAATAATAGCCCTGAAAACTGGAAGTTAAAATTTTCATGAACTTCCCTGCCAACCGCTAATTTGAAAAATGAGAAATAATGTAGGGTGAGCATCAACAGGTCAGTAGAGTAACTCATTTTCCAAACAACGAGCTGGAAAATAACATAATTTGACATCATTGGGCAATGTCAAACCAGTTCAGTTCATACATAAGTAACAGAGCAGAAAATTTTGAACGAAAGCATTTAAGTTGAAAATAATAATATGATCATAACATAAATATAGTGCAATATCGATGGGCGATCATCCTAAAATACCATTCAGGTTCAATACGATCCAACCTAGGGGACTTCACCTTAAGGAAGATATGCTCCCTATAAATAGTAACAATTCAGTACCCAAGTTCGAAGACCAACTGGGCCACCCAAGCATTTACGAACTCAATGAGAAACCATTTACGACCTCAACCAAGAATGTAAACCATCCGATACTCGACCATTGTGCACTTACATTTATTTCCAGAAGGATCTTGGAGTTTCATTTAATATAAACAATACAATCAATACGATCATTTGTGCGAACCACATTCAAAAACCCTGATTTGGGTTCAAATCCAAGTCATTATGCAAAACACCCAATCATATATTTTAAAATATGCTCAAGAATCATAAACAACATATGGAATAGTTTAGAAACAAGTTTAAAAACATCGTCTGTTCCGGATCTAAAAAATCCTACCCGTCTCGGTATTTTGATCTGAAATAGCCAAAAATCAAACAATATTATTTTTTGATGAAATTCAACCCACATAATCCATTTAACTAATTACAAATAAATATAGATATGTTTGGCAAAAATCAGCCAAAAACTTGGTGAAATTGCCCTCGGAGGCCAAAACAGTCATATTACTCATCATTTTGATCCAATCGTCAGATCGACTTGAAATTTTATCGAGACCTTTGCACAGATGTTAAGGAACTTTTGGCACTAATCAGAGGTCTATCAGACACCATACGCGCCCACACTTGCTATCGAAGTCCACTAATGTCCCTCTTCCAACTTCATCTTCAACCTTTGATCATAACTTTTGTCCTAAGTGCAAAATTTTCTGCTCAACCACCCCACTTTGACCCCATAGTTCTCCCACTAGAGTACACCATTTCATTTTTATTGAATACCCACATACTCTTTGGACAACTTAGTTTCAATCCCACCTAGACTCAACCTTCGAATTTAACTCTAACCTTATCAAATTATTGGTCAAAGTTGGCCAAAAGATCATTTTTTAAACACAAGGGTAGACCTACAACTGCCCGTTTCACCCCCAAAACAACCTCTAAATCCAATTCCGAGGCTAGAAATGGATTTCTTGACTCCAAATTAATGAACCCAAGCCCCCCATCGAAGTTTAAACAAGTTTTTATCAAAATTAAATTTTCACTTCTTCAAACTATCATGCAACCGTTACACCACTGTTACACCACCACCAAACAACTCCTTGAGACCCCCCAAACTCAGCCATAACAATCAATTAACCCAAAGCATGCTCAAATCTCAAACCCATTTCAAAATTCAAAAATCCATTAAACTTTAAAACACAAATTTACGCATTAATACTAAACCAAATCAAAATCTAATTACATAAATGAGTTCCTAACATTTATATAAGGCTAGTAGTATACCTCTTGGTGTTCGAAGTTGTCTGTGCAAGAATCCAAATTTCAAAATAAGTTTTCTCTCTCTAACTTCTCTCCTTCTTTCTCTATCATTTATCTCACCTCTAGGCCTACCTAGGACCAGTTCAGGACTTCCCCAAGCAGTAGAGTGGAAGCCATGCATCAAAAGGAAGCTTCAGCCAACACCTTGCAAGGCTAGAAGATTGGAGACGTTTCCAAGGGCATTTTGGTAATTTCATCCTTTTTGGACAAATTTAAAAAATTAATAAAAATAGTATTTTTATTTTAAAATTACATACCTATTAACTCAAGCACTAAAAAATTATCTGTTAAATTTTTGGACATCGAATTGATCTCCAATTTGATCCGCTAATGCAATTTTTGCACTCTTGACTCACTTGTACGCACTAATCCTACTTTGCCCATTTGTGCTTCCTGACTCATTTCCTGTTCACCAACCACAGTCCTACACATAGTAGACCTCCTAACCATCTCCAAACATTTACGCGTCATTCTAGAGTCATCATCAGTTCACAGTTTGGCAATCCGTAATCTGAACCCCTAACCGCACACACCCAAAATTTTGATCCAATTTCTAATTATTGAATATTAGGCCGTTATAGTCTACCCACCTTAAAAGAAATTTCGTCCTCAAAATTTAAATCCAATCCACAACTATATCCAAGCCAGACATATTAGTTTTACATAACTAGTTCGCGAAAATAAAATACGCACCTCATGTCGCTAAGTTTCTCTATTTACCTTCATCATAACTATGCGCCTCTTGAATCATGTTCACTTGGTTTCCACTCAATTGTTCCACTACAATACTGCTGCGCAACTCTAATAAAATACTAACCGTATTGGTGTGACCTCAATCCAAATAGCCCATCAACAAATCTTCCCTGAAATTCATTTCCTGTAAAATCAAAGTTAATCCACTAGTAGATTGAGAAATCACTC